TATATATATATATATATATATATATATATAGAAACCTACTCACATAAGAAGGTTAAATATCTTAAGAAGGTAAGAAGGGAAGGTTCATATGTGAATTATTGAAAAAATCCCGAAAAAGTCTATTTGAAGATGTGTATGTGAACCGACGTTACAAATTATTCAAATGGGTTCACATATGCATCTTCAAATGGATTTTTTCAATGATTCACATATGAACTTTTCCTTAACCTTCTTTCTTACCTTCTCACGATATTTAGCTTTTCTTATTTGCACCTCCCACTATATATATATGTATATGTATTTCCTAGAGTCAAATTGGTCTTCATCTATGTTCTAGGGAGTTTATGTTCTTTGAAAGAGGGGAGACGGTTGGTTACTAGAACCAAATGTGTGTAGCTCAAGTCAAATGGATAATTAGAAGAAGACTACGTTTTGTCGACCACATAAGAAAACACATTGCATGATTAACAGTCATAGGGCCGTTTACCAAACGCTTACCGGGTAAGTGCTTATCGGCAAGAGTCACCACCCTTGCTTACCTTATTGGGTAACATTTTCAGCCATTAAAATGGATTGTTGGTAAGATTCTTTTACCCAAAAAGTGCTTTCTAGGTAAAAGTCTTCTCTGTGGTTTCTTTTTCCTGTTTTAATAATACGGCCTTTCGGGAAAAAGAGACTCGGTTCATGCTATACCTCTTACTGGGTAAGATTATCGGTCTTTGTCATGCTCATCCTGTAAGCTTTTGGTAAACGGCCCCGTAGTCCATACAAAAAGATGGATATTCCTTGCATTATGTCGATGCATAATGTATGTCCATAATCACATAACATAAGCAACCAAAGACTAATGCACCCCTACCCACTAATTTCCTCAACACACATATCAACATCATGTCTTACTTTTTACATTTTCAATGTATGATTTGACCTGACATTGGTTTTTTCATAGGGGGAGAATCTAGTAACAGCAATGTTGACGGGACCTGGCATCGTCTTTATTCAGAGCATGCCCTTCCCTCGGCTTTCTCAACGCATCGCTAGGTAACTCCTTTCACCTACAATCATCTATTACATTCAAATCTAATTCACATAGGCATTGTTCTTTCAAAATCCTCACAATCTCACATGCCTTTTGCTCTCTAGTTTTTTTTTTTTCAAAATCCTCGCAACATTCAGATATCATTTTTGACCAATCTAGTCTTTACAAAACTTTTTTGGCCCTTGGGATAGATGAAATGTCAGCATACACGACAACAAAAATTGGGTTTATAGGACGCCAAAAATGTCTAAGCATTCTAATAGACTGCTTCATAAGACAGTTTATAGGACTAAACAATAAAGTATCCTATCTAAAGGTGTTGTAGAAGTTTATAGAACGTTTTTTGGGCGTGTAACAAGTTTTTTACGACATTTTTATTAAAAAAACATCGTATTATCTATTTTGTAAGCCATTGTTTGAAAATGTGTCTTATAAAAACAAGTGTCCTATAAAAAGATGTGTTCATAGGACACTTTTAATAAAATAGCTAATACGACACTTTGTATTAAAGGCATTCTAAACAATTGTTAAGACACCCAAAAGTAAACTATACACTTATTACAACTTAGATAAGATGTTTTATTGTTTGGTCCTAGAAACTTAAGTCATATAAAATGGTCTATTGTAACACATATGAATTGTTGGTGTCCTATTAGAGCATCTCCAACAGATTCTCCAAAATTTATATTTTTGCTCCGACAAATTCCCCAAAACCTTCTCCAAAATGGAGAAAGCATGAGAGAGGGGATGGTTACCGCTTTAATGGGCGAACAACCAAAGGGTTGGAACATACTAAAAATTCTCCAAATGAGAACTCTCCAAAAACGATTATTATAAGGGAAAATTATTTTTTATTCTTTTTACCAATGAGAATGCTTGGAATGAAATGTTTAAGAGAGAAGAATAATATTTTATAAATTGCATTGAATATTGTAATAATATAATTAATAGTGTAATCTCCAAAGTAGAGAATTTGTTCGAGATCAAGGTAATCTTTTTGGAGATTTTTGACCTTTTACTTCTCCATTTTGGAGAATCTGTTGAAGATGCCTTAAACCCAATTTTGTTGTACTGATACATTGTATCCCTTCCAGATCCTGCTTTCGAGTATACCTATACTGGGTAAGTTTGGTTTGGTTTGGTTTACAATCATTGTTCTTGCAATCAATCATCTTATATATAGGCAAACACGAACAAGTGTAAACCTAAATATATCGCCATATTTCTCTCGGTAACTACCTACCAAACTAAACCAAACCTACCCAGTAACAAAAGTAGGGTCTTGAGGTAGAATATACGCATACTCTGCCTCTACAGTCTAACCCCAAAGGGTATAGACCAAAGTTCGTTTACGTTTATAAAACAACAAACATAAAAAAACAAACAAACAAGTAGACTACAAGTGAGAGTGTGTGCATTTTTGTTGTGTTTGCAGGGCAGTGACATCACCAAACATGAGAGACAATCCAAAGTTGTTCATGCAGATAGCAATTTTCTTCTTTCTTGCTTATGTTGTGGTTGTTTCATCTTTCATCTTAACAGACATATGATTTTTGTTTTTAGTTTTCTTGTAAAGATTTAGAAATTTGGGTTCAAGACAAACCCAAATGAGTGTGTAAAGATTATAACCATTTTTTGGTGGAATTTTTATTGCTGAGCGTATTGTATAAATCAAATCAAACGTAGTCCAGTATAGTTTATATACAGCATATGGTGATATAGTATAAATATGGACATGTAGATAGACCCTGTTTCTCTTATGATGAATGAAGGCGTTTACGTGAAAATCTATGAACAGGAAATTAAACTTGTAAATGAAACAGATACGAGAAGTATCCGATGAGTGTGTCCAAACCGACATTTATTGATATCTATTTGAATGATCGACAAAAAACAAGTTTGATCATCATGTTATAAATTTTTACTGATGTTAAATTGGTCAATACTTGACGATAATTTATCATGTTTTTCTTTCTAGTTTGTTGAGCTCTCGAGACTTTAATATTTGTATTACTTTTCTAGTTTGTTTGAGCTCTCGAGGCTTTATATATATATATATATTTTTCTTCATAGAGAATCTATTGAATATACTCTAATAGGCTATAGGAGATCAACAAATAACCAAAAAGGGATGATGCTATATGCATCTCCATTTATATCATAATCAAATCAAATCATGAATTTAAAATATAAAAATATGTGTTAGGGTTGTTTGTTTATCTCTTAGTAGCTTTATTAAGAGGCAACATCTGAATCGTTAAAATGTGAATCTTGTTTGACAAAAAAAAAAGTATTGTCTCTTAATGTTCTAAAATTCTCTGAATTATTTTGTATCTTGATCCTCCCTTAATCATTCAACGTTCAAATTTCATTGTAAACAATTACCAAAGAATTATATTTCGTTTTTGCACTATATCATGAGAGCCTCTTAATATACCGTATCAAACCATTCAACAATTGCAAACATCCCTTATTATTAACTAGAAGGGTACTCGCGCAATACAGCGAGATACATTGTGATTTTAATATTTCATTTTATTCTTTATTTCAGTCAATGTTATTATATGGTCTTATGTGATTTTGAAAAAAACGATGATGTTTTTATTTTTGAATAAAATATAAATTTAAAAATATCATAAAAATTTGACAAAAATATATCGATATTAGTATCAAATTAACTATTTAAAATTCTTATTTTTTGTGTAATTTTCTAATTCAATTTTTTATATTATAATTTCAATTTAGGTTCAATAACGAAGTAATTTATATTTGATTTAATAATATAATTTTTGTATAAAAATAATAATTAATTAATTTGTTAGCACTCGATAATTATCTTAATTATATTTTAGATTTTTTATATTTTTAAATGAGATGTTTATTCTCTATTTGATTATATTTATTCGCAGTTAGTTACACGACTTCAAACATAGAGTTTTAATAAGTTGTATTTATGCATAAGTTACTTGTAGTCTTGAATTTTAAGTAATATACATCAATATACAATACTTTATGTATACAAAATTATTTTTAAGAGTTTTTAACAAATGTTTTATAATACAGTATAGATATGTATAAGAAAAAATTAATAAATAAATAAATTTAATTTTAAAAAAATGGTTCTTTGTTTCGTTATTGGGGTTGGCGGACTACGAATTGTCAAAAGAAGGTCAACAAGCAACTAAGAAAAAAAGGTCATGAGCAAAACGCGTTTCTATATTTTGTATTTAATTTTGTTGTAAATTGTTTATAAGTAATTAAAATTGTAATAATATTTTGATTAATTTATATAATTTATCAAATTATAATAAAATAATTATTTTTTATAACAAAATATATCATTAGAAATTATTTGTCAAAACAATTACAATGAC